ACAAAGACGGCCGACTCAATCACCTACGTACGCTCTCTTTCTCCACTCTCTATTGCATATAAAGCGGAAACGCTCCAAAATTTCAAAGCCCCAAATAGTTAAAAAGAAGTCCGCTGACTCGTTTCCCCGACTCAGCACCATAAGAAGTCCGCCAAATCTTTTCCCCGACTCAGGATCAACGGCTCACCAGCTATGGGCGAATCCATAACCATCGACGGCATGGACCAGGACTCGGCACTTTCCAAGTCAGAGTTTCTGAGTCGGCCAGAGGTACTTCGTCGGCGGTCGCGGCGGGTGAAGCAGCTGGCGAGGCTCTACAAAGCTCACTACTGGAATCTAATGGAGGAGCTCAAGAGAAAGCACAAGGAGTACTATTGGCTGTACGGGAAGAGCCCCTTCAAAGAAGATGAAAAGAAGAGTAGTGAAGAGAACGATGGGAACAAGTTAGGGTTAGGGTCTGAGTTGAAGTGTCAGATTTCTGATTGTAAAGAGAAAGCGATGGCGTTGACGAGGTTTTGTCATAAGCATATTTTAAACGATTCAAAGCAGATGCTTTATCGAGGCTGTAATTTTCCTATCAAGAGGTTGGTTCTTTTTTTTTTTTTTAATTTTTCTTAAATCTGATTTCTTCTATACGTTGGATTAGGGATTAGTCTGTAATTGATTTATTAGGGAAAATTATGAATAAATGCTTTTTTCCTGTGGTCTTTAAAAATAATTATGCGCTCAGATTTAAGGGCTTTGCCAATTGAATTTAATAAATAATGAGTCTTCCTTTAATTTAGAACACAAAATTTTGATCTTCTTGAATGAGTGAAGGAGTCTTTGGGATGAACCTTAAGAATGCATACATTAAATTGACACAATTTTTCTTTTGGTTACTTGGTGGGGAAGCTCCTTTGTAATAACAAATATAGGTGGGTCTTTTATAATTTGAATACATGATATTTTTTTCAACCCCAATTTTGTGGATGGAGAAAGGATTTTGCTTTAAACTGTGATGCATTCACTAATGCCATAAGTTAGACAGTTCACGAATTTAACTATGTTTGGTATGTTGAAATAATGAAAGGTATTTTCCACTCTCTCTAATGAAGTTGGAATCTAAATGCCATTGCAACTATGTCATATAATCTTTTATGTGCATTTGAATTTTTTTCCCTTTTATTTTACATCATGTTTTAGAGGAGCCTACATTAGATAGCTAATAGAAGGAATAAGTCTTTATGGTTGTAGTGAGCTGTATTAAGAGAGAATACTTGATAATTCCTAATTAACTATAAGGTTGCATCTAATCTACTGGATTATGTATAAGATAAGGATAGGGTAGAATAAGATGATATTGATGGGTAAATTGTCTTCAATTTATATTCTTATGCCCCAAAGGTGATCTAGAAGAAAGAAATAATCTATAGAAAAATGTGCAGTGGTTGTTGGTGGCATATGGTGGTATGCTTAAGGAAATTTAAAGAGAGCTTTGGCTTTCTTTGCCTGAAACCAGTTGTACACCAGCAAGCCGTCTTTTCAAGATATTCCAAAATTTTGGATTTCTCTTTAAGTCTTCTGTGAATATGAGAACTAAGCCTCAGCATTGCGTCTTTCGATGTTGCTTAAGTCATTGGGGGTAATATTTGATTTAACTGTGAAAATTGATAAAATTGGGGGACTATATTTATTTGGATGTTTGTAATCTTAGCATGTGAGTTCATTAAAATAAATTTATTTTATTTAGGAAAAATAGTTTTAAGCATATACATGGGATTTTTGGACCTTGGCTCATGTTGGCTAGCAACCACAGTGTATATAGTTTTGTGATATCTAAGCCTGCGCTTGATACTTGGGTGTCAATGTTTTTAATCATCTGTGTAAATGACTAAAACTAGGCTATTAGTGGGATCTGTCTTGCTTGCTCTGTGTTATATATTTGGGATGTGCATACTTGCGGTCAAATAGTTATACAATTTTAAGGCTTTGCC